TCGTGCGTGTGGTGACGAGAAGTTAGCAAGTCAATCACCAACCTCGCCGAACGGATCAACAGTCACCTGATTAACAACCAATGAAACCAAGTTTCTCAACAGTCACCTGATTAACAACCAATGAACGTGACCAAGTTTCCCGGAACGGCATGGATCAATAGGATATCACACCAACACGGAGAGCATAACTACTAGGGTCATTAAGAAAAACTGACAGAGCAGTTCGATCGAGATTTCCCAACATAGAACACGGATATGGATAGCGATCGAATCCGTATTACTCTAGCATAGTAATTCCAGCACCCGCTTGAACTTGTACAACGTTCCGTCCATATGATCCGTGTTCGATGTCACGCGACTTTGCCCCTGACACAAGCACACAACGAGCGATGACAAAGCTCCATCAGACCACATACACAGCCAAGTCTATGGAAAAGGCACGCTCAAGTTTTAGCTGTCTGTGAGCGAAACGGTCACTACATACCTCAGATAAAACGTCTAAACGTTTTATCAACGGGCAAACTAAATTCTCTTCCATGCCACACGTGTTCAGGTGGGGGGGGGGCTTCCATGAAACAAGTGTTTGAAGACGAACGGTTCCGGATAAGCGTGTTTTTCTTTAGTTCCCCAGGGTACCCATAATGCAGACCGCCTTCACTCAATAGAGAAACAAAGTGCCATATACCTTATGCGTAGCAGATAAACAAATTTCGAGGTACATCCTGCCTAGACCAAACCATCTGCCTGTGGGCAATTAGACAAATCTCTACCGCCTACTGACGCCACAAAATCACACTCAACAATGCCAACCGATTGCCTTTTTCTATTCTAGTTGCAAAGTATCAAGAAGGTCAGATTCCTGAAAGTAACCTCAGAACGCCCGGAACCTACTGCTCACCAGAATCTCAACAGGAAAGCCGGCAAGCATCCAGGCCACTCAATTATTCAATCAATTCAGCAAAAGCTGATGAGTGTTCATGCACGCCACAGAAGCACGACTGAATGTGACCAGTCATAGAGGCACGATCGATGTTGACGGGTGCTCACTACCCCCTATCAGACAGCCTGGATGAATGTCAGAAAGTCCCCTTTGAATATCGTGGGGCCGTTGTAACTTTTGCTCTCGCACTCGCTTGTTCGGAATATAGCGGTTGTGTTCCCTTCTATGAGTCTTTTTTTCTCCGGCATTGGGCACTGGAGCGGGTCAGCAGCAGACAGCACAGATTGGCGAATCAGCAAATATAACACACAGCATGACAATCGATGTATACGGTAAAAGGAACTAAACGAATCGGTATGGCTGATGAGCCTGTCATATCCATGGATGTATCCAGGGTACATGGCACGCTGTAGAACTGAATTCGTTCACGCCAGACTAAACATCCGAATTAGGCCAGGAAAATGCCGGCCAAAATGGGACCTATGAAGGCCAGTGCAGCATTTGCTAGCCTCCAATAGTTGTGGCTCAATTGTCAAGGATAAAGTGTACAGTACCGCGGTCCGATCTTCCATAATTTACGTATCAAAGACGTGGGACGGGATGACCCAAGTGGTTAGAGCGCGAATTTATTGCCCGGAATGTCCATGGTTCAAACCCGACCTCTGCCTCTCGACTTCCCCTGTCTAGGCTTGGGCAACCTGGCATTATCCAAGCCTTCGTGCTTCCTTCTGGTGGCATGGCAAAGAAAGGGTGCCACAGCTGAACGATCAGAGGCGTGGCTTGTACGTGCTGAAGATATTCGGAGACTATATTTGACCATCCACCCCTCCGAAGCATTGCGAGGGTTTCATGGGAACGTGAAATCTTTAATGTTCAAGTGGCCAGATGCTTCTCCGGAAAGCTCATTCTACCTCGATAGATCAGCTTGGTACACCACAGGTTACGCTAGCTAGGTCACATGTTTTCTATCCCGGAGGACCATTTGTCTCGTGGAGCAATCTATACCCAGCCTTGTGTTGGAAGGAGACGACCGAAAGCAGTCAGTCGACTTCTTGGAAACGAAGTATGAAAGGCTCCATCAGTCCACTCAGCCGCGTTGGTAATTGCCGCCTCTCTAGACGGGTACTGCGGGACGAGACAAACCAACGGTTAGTGACTCTGACAGGAAAAACAGATCCATCTGTCGCCAATCCACAGATTGGGACATTGCCTCCAACGCATGTCTCTGATTCCCTTCTTCTCCCCCATACTCGGTGAACAAAGCTATGACAGCTGGAGTCAAACTGCTACACTTCAATCCACGGTTTTTAACTTGAAAACCGAATCTTTTTCGCCATAACGTCGATTGTAAGTGTACACCGAAGCTGTGCAAGCAAAAACGACTAATTCGACCGCTCCAACTCCCATTGCCTTATGAGGAGGAATTTGGAGAAATTACCCGGCCACGTTTTATGCTTGACTACCTGTGTTGTTGCGTCTTTATCACTGGTGCTGTGAGTTTTGTTCACTCAGGATGAGTGCTACCATACCAACTGCAGATGAGTTTGGGAAGCTGGCCTAAATAATTGTACGAGGGTTTTGTGAATGCACTGTTATGATGCGGCTTTTCGAAAAGAAGTTATTTTGAGTTCACCGTTTTGGTACCCAATGGGTATCTCTACCGTGAAAACAAACGGTACTAGGTGGGCTACCAATGAACTGCAGAACGTCAATTTTTTATTCTTTACATTTGACGCGACATTCTGAGAATTACGCCACCAGATCAACACATCAGCAGTAGGCGCACATGTATTCAGTATAAAACTAACAGTGACTGATTTTCTTTCGTTTGCTGGAAGTAGCCACGATTCTAAACAGGAATTTTTGGGTTCTGAGTAACCTGATCTAAAACATTTCACCAACATAACAACGGGCATCATTTTGGTGGTTCGCATGCCCAATTTTCCGAGAAAGCGTGAATAAGAAGTTTCTAACATTGGTGCACTGACTGAAACCAACACTCATAACTGCTGCAACAGGGACTTTTGAGCTTAAAATCATTCCGTTAAGAAGGGTCTGCAAACAGTGAGGTTGAGAACGACAATAAAGTCGGCGAATGGGAGCTCAGTGACCAGATAGCAAGTAAGAACAAACATTGCAGAACTTACCACGGAATCGTCGGTCGACGTCAGTTGAATGTGACAGTTCTGAAATTGAAAACAGCTGGTTTTGTGGTGTCAAAACTCACTTTTGACTTTAAACCATAATCCAAAGCACGACTCAGGCTTTCGGTCGATTTCAGATGGATCAAATGAAGATCAGTAGACAATGGAATCACCATCGCTGCGAAACGGAGCAAGGCCAAAGAGAGCCTTATTAGTCGGGTATCTTGAAATGAAAAAAACATGGAAATTAACATGTGATGCAAGCGTTTTAAGACGGCTTCAGTTGAGTTTGGTGGTGTGTCTTTCAGCCCGTACATGTCAAGCGCAAGCTTATTTGTCATTCCGGGATGGATCAGTGATAAGAGCGCGAATCTACTGCCGGAAGACCGTGGTTCGAACCCAACCTTCTGCCTCTCAAATTCCTGTCTAGGCCTGGGCGACCTGGCAGTATCCCAGCCCCTATGCTTCCTTCTGGTAGCATGACAGTTACGCACCCAAAGGGTACTACAGCTGAACGATTTTTCCGAATTACGGCCAGTCCCTCTGATATGACAGAATCCGCTGCTACTGTAGAGTTATGAGAGTAGGAATACGATACTCAGGTATTCGCCTTTAACTGCGTGCCCGCAGTGAACTTGGTTCGCGAGCGTGTAACAAATTTCGTTTATACCACTAAATGATTTGTGACATCGCTCTGTGAATCGGCTCCGTGGGTACTGAAAAAGCCGCCCACGTCTGCACTATTAACCAGACTCTGGTACCCCTGTTTAAATCGCAAGACGCCCTCTAAGGCAGATGGCCGAAATGGCCCAAGTGGTTAGAGCGCGAATTTACTGACCGGAAGGTCCGTGGTTCGAATCCGACCTCCGCCACTCGACTTCACCTGTCTAGGCTTGGGCAACCTGGCAGTATCCCAGCCTTCGTGCTTCCTTCGGGTGACATGGCGGCTAGGCACCGGAAGGGTGCAACAGCTGAACGATTTCTTACGCAATGCACGTGTCAAACTACTGGAAGATATTTGCCAGGTCACCTAAAGCTGGACAAGCGTTCGACTCTTTTCGAAATCGGTGAGAAAATGGTGTGAATGGTTCTGACCGCCTGAAAGGGAACGATTTCGATAAGCGCAGTTTAGAAAAATATTCTGCGCATTCGCCTGACAACTACTATAAAGCGCACTATTGCAGAAAATCTTCTGGAAACTTCATTAGAAATCCAAATGTGAATAGCTGTGTACGAAAACTCTGGAAGTATAGTCCATAGTTTTGTGACGCAAGGTGGTTGAGATCATAGAGTATTAATCATTTCCTAATAACGTATGGTGCTATCTAGTCAGATGTAGATCTGTTACCAGTGCAGCGTAAAACGTACATTGGAAAAATGAATTCGGAAGGCATCCAAAACCAGTATTAGTGTATGTCCAGACTAACTTCCAGCAGTACCCATCATTCTGCAAACAGAGAATCCGGGAAATTTGACCACTCAACATAAAGATGCCACCATGACGTGGTCCCCCGGCTCGAGTGCTGCAACGATACAGCGGGTAGGGTGGCTGGGACTTAGTTCCACAAAATTCAACCATTCAACGAATGTCAAAGGGGAACAGGAGACCCATACTACTAGTAATCATGCTACGTCGCCGTCTGGGGGTGAAGTCGTACTGTCCTGTCTGATGCGAATGCGAAGATAGTAAAATGCTTCATCCAGGTGACCAGGCGAGACAGCTCTGTGGTTGAAGCGCGAATTTACTAACCAGAAGTGCCGTGGTTCGAGCCCAACCTCTGCCTTTTAACTTCACCTGCCTAGGCTTGGGCAACCTGGGAGTATTCGAGTCCTCATGCTTCCTTCCTGTGGCATGGCAAAAAAGAAAAAAGCGTTCAGCTGTAGCACCCTTCCGGTGCCTAGCTGCCATGCCACCCGAAGGAAGCACGAGGACTGGGATACTGCCAGGTTGCCCAAGCCTAGACAGGGGAAGTCGAGTGGCGGAGGTCGGATTCGAACCACGGACCTTCCGGTCAGTAAATTCGCGCTCTAACCACTTAGGCCATCTCGCCCAGCTAGGCAGCTAGGCACCGAAAGTGTGTTACAGCTGAACGATGTCGAATTGATAAACAGGAAATGCTCCCTCAAAGTCGGTGAATGCTCTGTCTCCGAAGTACACATAACCAAGCGTGGTTATGTATCTCGAAACGCTAAAGATGAACTCATCTCTTTCACATTTAGCCATCTGTCCGGTGATCTAAAAGCGATGACTAGTGGAATATGTAACCCAGGAGTGCACCCATCCTTAGAGCTGAATGCGTTTCACTGGACTGGATTACAGTGAACAGCTGTCTTTGCACCGTTTGGTTATCCAGCAAAAACAAACTCAACGCCCCTCGACATAAAAACTGCCTGGTTATGGTGTCCGCCACGAAGAGACTGGACAGTGTTGTGACGGTTGACGCACCTCAGCGATCCATTAGAATATAATGTATGGTGTACCCGCGACACTCAGTTTCCCATACCAGGTTGGTCAACGGTTGGACGTCTGACAAACAGTGCCCTGGTCTTCCAAGTTGGATGTTGGAAAATGTGGCAGCTTGTTCCGCAGAGGTGGTAATGCATTTCCGCCAAACACCGCTGCCTTGAGGCTAGGCTTTCGAGCCAAAGGCTTTGGATGAGGGCCTTAATCGTCCTCCTGTCTAGGTGTGGGCGCCCTGGCAATATCCCAGCCCAAGTACAACCACGAACTGCACATATACAAATAGACTCATGGGAAATCGGCCGTCACGTGGTGCCTTCAGACGGGTCACCTCACTTGCTTAACACAGACTACTACTGACGCCTTCCTTCTTCCTGCTTCACTTACTTTTTCTTCCCACCCCCCCTTACTAACTCCTTGTGGGCCCAGCACTTATGACTGATAACTCCGTTCGTCACACATCGGTTTTGCGCGCAACATCTGCCCGCCACATGGTGCCGATATTATCAGGCGTCTCCAAATCAATCTTCAAGCCTCGACACCTAGTCTATCTGGCTGCCATTAATGTCCACCATCTGAAGCAAGCAGGACAACAAGCTGTTCTTGCATTCGCATTGGACTCACTTGGCATTGATGTGTGCTGTCTTAAAGACGAGAATTCAAAGATGTAAGCACAGTGAATGAGCTAACCGCCCCGCGCACCTCTGGTGATCCAGAGGCTTCTGAGGCGGGATGTGCAGGGTTCGGTATCGTCCCAAGTCAATGGAGGAAGGTATCCTGACTTGACTGGATACCTGTTGATAGTCACCTCTGTGCGGTTCGTCTGGCAACACTTGTGAGGGGGCCTCACAAGCGGGAAGTTCATCGATGATTGTTTATCTAGTCTGTTTAAGCCTTAACTGACTGTAGCCCCGAAGCCGTCAAAGACAGGTTTTACGACGCGATGAATGCCCAGCTGCGGTGAGCTAAAAGCTCAGATATCGGGAAAGTTGTCTGAGACAAGAATGCATATGTGAGCAGGCTTGCCGCGTCTGAGACTCAATTAGGTGGTTGACAGAAAGTGGGCTCGATACGCACGCTACGTGCTGACCGCAGCTTGTTTTTATGCACTGCTAATTTCCGAAACAGCTGATGGCGTCTGACGATATGGTGTCCTCAAACAGCGTGCCAGCACGAACACAGTTTGATCATATTACCATTAATAGCGGACTACCGCTCGTTTAGAACCACGCGCACGTTCGGAGTGCACTTTCCTTTAGTTTTCTAGGCGACGTAATGTGCGAACATATCATTTAGTGCCTGAGATACCAGCATATCCATAGGTTAGGCGAATTTACCAAAATAATTCGGAGTCGCTTCCAACCGATCCCCTTGATTAGGCAAAATTCCACATCGACGCCGCTTCACCACTCGCAGTTAAACCCTGCTACGGCCGGGAAGCCTATCCCGCACAAGATTGGCCAAATGTTCGGGCCATTTTCCTGCTTCAAGGCGAGCTATGATTGGCGGGAAATATGGACCAGCAGACACGAATTCACAGATTTAGGGATAGACACAGAATCGGAGCTTTCCTTCAAGCATCCCGGGTTATGCTTATTATTGTCCTTCAGCGCCTACCGTTCGCCTGAAAGGCACAGTGAAAACAGAATGTAGTGCTGCAGTCCAAGAACACAGCGCTGGACAGAAATCTTGCCAGCAAAAGAATTCATCCAAAAAAGGTGTCTAAAAATGCCTTTGACTGGGTACTAGACTCTGTGTGAACAACGGTCGGAGGAATGCCATTCTACGCACCAAATAACCCGAATGAAAAACCGTTGCTCATTGAATCTGTGCGCTTTTGCTGTGAAAATCTTACCTTGCAACTGTTATCTGGGTCAACGTTCGAAAGTGTGCTGGCCAAACTTTGTTCAGATAGGGCGTAAGTAAGTATTCAAGCTCCTCGTGGGCGATGATAATCCAAGTGAAATAGGTCAAGCAGCACGAGATTTTTGTTCCATGTTCCTCGGATTTAAGGCCGGCAACAATTTTCGTAGAAGCCAGTTGGAAACACCCACTGACGTTTACATTCTTCCGTCCTGAATAGACAACTCTGCTGGAATATTCAAGTATTAGTCTGACGTGGGATGTTCCGACATCCACTGAATGCTGGATGCCACTACTTTGACCTGGTTTACGAATTTCCAGGATATTTTGCATGCATCTAATTCAAATACGGGAGGCTCTACTTGGATTTTCGAATTTCAGTGGGCTTTTGGTACAAAGTATGCTCCAGAAGACCAGTACATTCGAAATCGGTACGTTCGAAATCGGTTTCGTTCTTCCCCCGTGCAAATTGGTGAAAGCATTTTTTCGTTGTCCAATCTATTCACAGAGTACACACGAGTAATTGTTGAATTTTATTACTCTAACAAAACATTTGAGAGATAAAACTTGATATTTTGCGCACACTTCTTATTTTTACATCTAATCCTAAACATGACATCGATTTACACCGATTGCCCGCTGCAACCATTGGTGGACCACAGCAGTTGTGGACGAAATGGCTGCCCGTCGAACGTCAAACG